TTTTAGCATGTATATCGGGATTTAGACAATAACTCTGAAAGATACACTCATGGACAAAACTTAAGGAAGTTGTACCTTTTATCATGTATATCGGGATTCAGACAATAACTCTGAAAGATATTACAGTGACCTTTATTGAAGACACAAGAGATAAACAAGTGTGAACAAGATAACTTCTGTCTCCTTTAAAGAAAACAGACGACCGACGACATCAAAGACTTTCCAACACCTTAAGTCCATAAGTTTATATATTGTGCATAAGTTTATGGGGATGCATGTGTACCAATATAAATTACTTTGTTCTATTTATATATGCAAATAAGGTTGATTTTTCTAGAGGCACATTGATTTCTATATACAAAAAAAGAAACGGCGTCTTGAATTTGCGTCGATTTTGACAGGAGAGGTTAGCATTATTTTCATCCTGCAAATATTCCTCTATATACTCATGGACAAAACTTAATGAAGTTGTATCATTTAGCATGTATATCGGTACAATAGCTCTGAAAGATATTACAGTGACCTTTATTGAAGACATACGAGATAACCAAGTGTGAACAAAATCGCCACTGTCTCCTTCAAAAAAAAAAAAAACAGACGACCGACGATATCAAAGACTTTTCACTTCCTTAAGATTTGAGCCTATGGTATATATACAATGATTTTTTCAGGCTATGACCCCCATCAGTGCAGAGGAAGGATTCGTTATTAATATATATTTATTTAAGTAACCCAGGTTCCTGGAGCGTACAGAAGTCGCCAACTACCCGGGATGTCCTTCTGACCTAAGTCTTCTTGGATTTATATACAATGCCAGTGAAAGTCCAATTAATGAGGTGTCGCCAGGCAGATTTCTTTCTTGGGAGATTTTCTAGGGATGCTGGACATATGTTGGTGATACCTAGGAGAGTGGCTGTCTGGAATCTTTGGTATTGGAAGGTTGGGTAAGTGAAGAGGAGGTGGTCTACGGTTATTAATATATTATAATTTATTTAAGTAACCCAGGTTCCTGGAGCGTACAGAAGTCACCAACTATCCGGGATGTCCTTCTGACCTAAGTCTTCTTCGATTTATATACAATGCCAGTGGAAGTCCAGTTATTAATATATATATTACTCACTCATAAAGATAAAGGTTTGCTTGGCCGCGCGGCGCGGGAATTCATAGTTATTCAAATTAAAGATACTTCGGCCAGTAAATCTTTTGTCCACGTCAGGAGCAAACAAAAGATTTTTGTCGAAACGTCGAGACAATAAAAAAGATTTACTGGCCGAACTATCTTTAATTTGAAGATATTACTTTCTATCAAAGTAAAAAAAAAACTGATATTAAAAGTAAAAAAAAAAAATAGAATCAAAATCTCATTTATAAAACACCACATCCATCTTTCAAAAAAACATCCACTTAGTTCTACTAAAATTTAAAAATTGTTAGAAGTTTCTCTTCGAACCCAAACTACAAAAATATCGTTTTACATTAAATACGATAGAGCGGTTCAATATGGCAACCGATATGTTTCTGTCAGACGATGTTTGAATGTTTAATTTACCTTTTTTTAAGTTCTTTAGTTGTATTAGTGTCATGTGATACTGAAAATCAATCCTGATTGGTTGGATTTGAATTTCAACTTTTAGTTAAGGATTGGTTTAAAATTTCTAATTAAGCATTGATTTAATTGACATTTTTAGTATTGGGGGACTTTCTTAACGGTAATCTTTTTTATGTTTTGTATTTTTAAAGTATATTCTACTATGTTGTGATAATAATACACTCATGGACAAAACTTAAGGAAGTTATACCTTTTAGCATGTATATCGGGATTCAGACAATAACTCTGAAAGATACACTCATGGACAAAACTTAAGGAAGTTGTACCTTTTATCATGTATATCGGGATTCAGACAATAACTCTGAAAGATACACTCATGGACAAAACTTAAGGAAGTTGTACCTTTTAGCATGTATATCGGGATTCAGACAATAACTCTGAAAGAGACACTGATGGACAAAACTTGAAGAGGTTGTACCTTTTATCATTAATATCGGAATTCAGACAATAACTCTGAAAGATATTACAGTGACCTTTATTGAAGACACACGAGATAACCAAGTGTGAACAAAATTGCCAAGGTCTCCTTCGAAAAAGAAAAACAGACGACAGGCGACATCAAATACTTTCAACTTTCTTAAGTTTTGTCCATGAGTGTATTTAAAAAGAAATTTTCGTGTTTGAATATAATAACAAGATTAAATATTATACATTAGAGTATGCGTTATCTATAGTTTTTCATTTTTTTTTTTCAAATAAAGCTATTTGTACTGGGTTCTCTTAATGGGCTAGTAAAATTATTTAGAGGGTCTGACTCAGTTTTGTCAATGATTGTAAATACTGACATGCAAATAAGGTTTTCTATTTTAAATTAAAGATCGGAGACTAGACGTAAAATAAATAATAAATATACACTAGCGTTACCTTTGTTAGCTATAAGGAAATATAGACTACTTACCATGACTTGTGTAACTTGTACAGAACCCTGAAATACACAAGTTCTGTTTCAATATAAGATAACAGAAAATATAGAAAAATGACATTTTATATAAATAGAGTATATTCCTTTATCGTAAAGATAGAGGCTGCCTGGCCAACATTCATATTTATATAAAAATAGACACATCAGCCAGTTGGAGTTTTTCATTTTTCTCAACGTTTCGACAAAAATATTTTGTCTTCGTCAGGAGAAATAAATAAAATAAAGCATTTGGCAAGGCGTTAAAAATTGTTCTGAGGTTTGCAAGGGCTTTTAGAACGAGAACGTGTGAGAACGCCCTTGCAAACCTCAGAACAATTTTTAACGCCTTGCCAAATGCTTTATTTTTATTTATTTCTCCTGACAAAGACAAAAGAATTTTGTTGAAATGTTGAGAAAAATAAAAAACTCCAACTGGCCGAAGTGTCTATTTTTAATATAAATATATTGTAGCGATTTAACAAAATGAAAGAAGACAATTTTCTTTAATTATTAGACGACGCAAGCTTTCGGGCAAAAACCCTTCAACAGGAAAGATAAAGTATAAATACGACACATACTTTATCTTGTCTGTTGAAGGGTTTTTGTCCGAAAGCTTGCGTCGTTAAATAATTAAAGAAACTTGTCTTCTTTCATTTTATTAAATTGCTACATATTCTACTAAGAAGAATCTTCTATATCTAAATAGGTTGTTATAGTTTTTAAGATTATTTGTTGGTTGGAGTTGATATAGAAATAGTTATAGCTACATTAACCAATAATTTATTTAACTCCTGTCATTTCAGTGACCTTCTTTCACTCTCCTCAGTGAAATGATTGTTTCGAATCCTATTTCTACTTAGTTCCTAGAGGGAAATATGCTTCTAAGTAAACCAGCCACCAATAAAATATGAATATGCAATGAAAGGATTTAAAAGCATGAATGTTTCTTTTATACATAATACAAACTTCTACTATCCTTACTGCAATGAAAAATATATTGGGAGGGCTTGGCTCATCAGTGGTGAACCCTCCCAGCGGTTTCGCCAATTTAATACACCAGACCACTTCCCAGAGCTCTAATACTGTATTGGACGATTATGTTTATATACGCATCACTGAAGGATGGAATCTCAGAAGTGGTTTTCAAGAAAACTATGGACATAAGCTTATAGGACAGTAGAATTACATTCAAATATTTGCTTCGAGCAATGCTCTTCCGCAAACAATAAAGACAAGGCCAGTTAGGCATATATTAACAGGGAGGGTTCACCACTGATGAGCCAAGCCCTCCCAATATATTTTTTCATCACAGTAAGGACAGTAGAAGTTTGTATTATGTATAAAAGAAACATTCGTGCTTTTAAATCCTTTCATTTTATATATATAGATGGCGCGTTATTGCTTTGTGTTAAAATATGAATATGCAAAAACCTCAATGCCCAAGAAACATGTAGTTAAATATTTATTACACACATCTACATTTCAAGCAGCTGCGACCAAGTTAATTTATCCCCCTAATTCAAGTACAATTTCATTTTAGTATGTGAAAAAATAATACAAATGTGATATTGTACTGGGATAAGGTGCATAAATTAAGAAAAAGGCATCTACTTATCGTGCAACTGAAAGTTGCTGATGGCTTGCGCCATCTATCGGAATAAATATCAACTATTCTCGTTGATTTTTAATTATTCCAGAATTGGCCAAATACCCATTCTTGATTAATCAAGAAAAAGCTAACCACGGACGCGTTTCGGGCTGTTGGCCCTCATCAGCGTGGTGCAAGCTGTACCTCAACGACCAAAATATTGGTCATTAAGGCATCCTGAAAAATCATGAAACGGGTAGTTAAGGCCAGAATTGCGTGAGAACGCTACAAAATGTGAAAAAAAATAGTACAAATGTGATATTGTACTGGGATAAGGTGCATAAATTAAGAAAAAGGCATCTACTTATCGTGCAACTGAAAGTTGCTAAATAATTCATTTTAGTAATATTTTTCAATTTGCAAATTAGTTATTTGTATTTTTTAACTATAGATACAATATATAGTGTTTTATCGTACATTATATACACTAATAGAAATATAGAAAGTGTTAGACTCAGAAGAAATTTGAGAGAAAATCTGTAACTCAAACTTTACATCGTTTTCTCACGTTTGCTCACTAAAAAACCTGGGCTCAGCTGGCCCGGCTGATAATACCCTGTAAGGGCTCCTAATCCAGGGATACAGGATGAGTTTGTACTCCATGTTAGGAGCGGCTGTACATGGCTTCTGTACTTCATGTCAAAGGCGGCCATTTATTTTGGAGCTAAGTCGGCCTGCCACTGAGTAGTGCTCCCAGTCTTAATGACAAAGGCAGACGCATTCTACTTCACCCAGTCATGATGGTTGTCAAGCTTTACAAGCTTGATACCCTAATATGATGGAGTGGAGATAAGAAAGAAGAAGACATCGTTTTCTTTGATACCATTACTTGGAATTGGCCTACGACCATAGCACTTTGAAAACAGCGGTTCTCGTCCGATCACTAAAGTTAAGCAATGTCGGACCCGGTCAGTACTTGGGAGGGTGACCACTTGGGAATACCGGTTATCACCTTTTGGACTCAAAAATCATAAACATTGGTTAGTAACTCGTAAACCCATATTCTCTCTTTCCCGTTGGCCGGCCGTTACCTAGAATTCTTCTATGGTCCTGAAAATATAAGCTGTTATGAAAATATAGTACAAATGTAATATTGTACTGGGATAAGGTTCATAAATTAAGAAAAAGGCATCTACTTATCGTGCAACTGAAAGTTTCTGATGGCTTGCGCCATCTATCGGAATAAATATCAACTATTCTCGTTGATTTTTAATTATTCCAGAATTGGCCTAATGCCCATTCTTGATTAATCAAGAAAAGCTAACCACGGACGCGTTTCGGGCTGTTGGCCCTCATCAGCGGTCAGCTATTATGTAATTAAAGTAAGTAAGAAGGTTGAATCCGTAACCAATTTACATATTATTTATTATTAATAACAATTATACAAAACAAATATTGGTATATATGTCTACATGAAAACAACAAAACAATGAATATTATATACATACAAGTTCCTTTTCAATCACGAGCTCATCTATAGCCATTGTTACTCTCTGTAATATTATAACATAAGCAACCAACTACATTATTTGAGGTTTATGGTAGATTAACTTATAGAAATAGCTAGGAGAAACACACTGATTAGACAGACCCTTCCAATAATTTCACTGTCCCATTAAAATACCAGTACAAATTGCTTTATTTGAAAAAAAAGTATTTGCATTAAAGAAATTTACATTTTTTAAATATAGAATACGCACTGATGTATAATATATTTAATCTTGTGTTATTATATTCTAACTAATAAATTTCGGTAAATATACTCATGGAGAAAAATTATGGAAGTGGAAAGTCTTTTATGTCGCCGGTCGTTTTTTTTTTTTTTTTTTTTTTTAAGGAGACAGAGATAATTTTGTTCAAACTTGGTTATCTCATGTGTCTACAATAAAGGTCACAGTATTATCTTTCAGAGTTATTGTCTGAATTCAGATATACATGCTAAAAGGTACTACTTCCTTAAGTTTTGTCCATGAGTGTATTCATACTTGGTTGGCTCGTGTGTCTTCAATAAAGGTCACTGTAATATCTTTCAGAGTTATTGTCTGAATCCCGATATACATGCTGAAAGGTACAACTTTCTTTAGTTTTGTCCATGAGTGTATATTGGTTATCTCGTGTGTCTTCAATAAAGGTCACTGTGATATCTTTCAGAGTTATTGTCTCAATCCCGATATACATGCTAAAAAGTACAACTTCCTTAAGTATTTTCCATGAGTGTAAATCTCTCATTACATTAAAAGAATAAATTACTTAAATAAATTACTGATAAATGTGTGAATATATAAAGTTTTTCTTTCTCTAATTTGATGGAAAAGTAATTTTAAAACTAGGTATATATATTTAAAAGGTTTCGTGTTTTCCCGAAAAGATAATCACACCTGGGTAAAATAGATTTAAAACCAGGGAGTTGAAAGGAATTAACAATACTCCAGAGAGAGACAGTGTTGCCAGATGTTTCCGTGTAAAACTTGGTCGCAGCTGCTTGAAATATTGATGTGTCGAATAAATATTTAACTACTTGTTTCTTGGGCATTGAGGTTTTTGCATATTCATATTTTATTGGTGGCTTGTTTATTTAGAAGCATATTTCCCTCAATATACATATGTTATATTAAAATATATTATTCTATTTAAAATTATATTTCATAGATCCAAACACTCTGTTAAATCGACCGCCAGAGGTCATGCTTCCCCTATAAAAACGCATTGTTGTTGTTTCTCGATGGCCGGCTCAAAACTTTTGTACATTATGTAAATAATATTTTGTTTTCCTTATTCTACTCGCCTTAAGTCAGGCAGTACTTTCACCAAATTATGTCTTTTATTCATTCCTTAGCTCAATTAAAGCAACCTCTGATTAAAACCATTATTATTATTTCAAGAATTTAACCACGACTGCATTCCCATAATTCTCAAGTTAATCAAAAAATCAACAAAGATCTCATTCTTTTTATGTATAATATATATATGTCATGTTTTATATGTTTTGTAATGATCATTCTTCATTAAATTGTTCACTTCACTTTTTCAAATATAAATTCATATTCGAAATTACCAAACATTAATATTCTCTATATATTCTTATATCTATTTTTTGTTTATATTCATTATATATTCAACTCTTTTAATTTATAATATAATATAATGCGGCTTATGATTGGAAAACCACATTTGACAAGTTTTACCGCAAATGTTTCTTTTGAACGAAAAATCGTAATTTATTTTAAGGAGAAATAACGACTTTTTCTATCCTTAGGGATGAAGTATGAAAGGATGAATTGTCCAGTGTCCAGTCCAGTGTCTCTGGACACTTTTATTTTTCCGTTTATCATTACTCTTCACAATTCATCCTTTCATACTTCATCCCTAAGGATAGAAATAACCGTTATTTCTCCTTAAAATAAATTTCGATTTTCGTTCAAAAGAAACACATGCGGGATAATTTTCAAATGTCGTTCTATAATTTAATAATATTATAATAATCCTTTATCGCAAAATCGGTATCATAAATCCTAGGAAAAAAAGATAAAAATAAATAAGAGAATAAAAACACATGTATTTACATATGTACATGCATACATAATCCTTTATGAAGAACCTTCCTCTTTTGCAAAATTTCTCAAATGAAAAACGAGGACTTTAAAAATTTTGAAGCAGAACTTTTTGATAGTATATACGCTCATAGAACGCGAAAAATAAAATGAAATAACCGCAGGGGAAAAAGTACTATAGTAAAATCATTATTAAGGTAAAATTAGTTTCAAGAGAATTCTTGCTTGTCAAAGAAACCTTTTCTCTGTAACGTGAAAATATAATACAAACGTAAAATTGTACTTGGATTAGGTGGATAAATTAAGAAAAAGGTATCTCTTGATTATGCAACTTTAAGTTATTGATGGTTTGCGCCATCTGTCGGAATAAATATCAACTATTCATTTTAAATTCTGGAATAATTAAAAATTAACAAATAGTTGATATTTCCCACACACAGGTTTATTGAGGCCACCATTACAAGCTTGACACCCTAATATGATTGAGTGGAGATAAGAAAGAAGAAGAAGATTAAGGCCACCGGTCTTATACAGATTTACCACAGGAAAAAAGGAAGCATAAATGGAGCTTCTATACTTTCCGACAGATGGAGCAAGCCATCAGCAACTTTTAGTTCTACGTTCAGGAGATACCTTTTTATAATACAATATAATGCGGCTTATGATTGTAGAACGACATTTGACAATTATCACGCATGTGCTTCTTTTGAACGAAAAATCGAAATTTATTTTAAGGAGAAATAACAATTATTTCTAACCTTAGGGATGAAGTATGAAAGGATGAATTGTGAAGAGTAATGATAAACGGAAAAATAAAGTGTCCAGGGATGGAAATATACCTTTTTCTTAATTTTCTTTTGAAGCTTGATATTGTAATATAGAAATAAGGAATTATTTAAATAAATATTAATATCACATGTTAGGTATTGTTGTATTCTCTTCTTCTTTCTCATCTCCACTCAATCATATTAGGATATCAAGTTGTGACTCTTGATGGTGTCTGTTTGACAACCATCATGACTGGGTGAAGTAGAATGCCTTTGTCATTAAGACTAGGAGCACTTCTCAGTGGCAGGCCGACTTAGCTCCATAAGAAATGGCCGCCTCTGACATGAGGAATAGACGTCATGTGCAGCTGCTCCTAACATTGTAATCTCTCTGTGTTTTACTTCTATGTTAAAATCGAATACTCTCTTAGCACCCCAGTCTTCCATGAGAAGGGGTTGGCTATTGTCTCATTGATATGGTCACATAACATTTGCTGATTTTCCAAGAAATTTCTTCCTCACTTCTATATGACATTGTCAGAGATAAGGGATCGCTTAGTTATCAAATTCTTATTAAAAAAATAATGCATTTTATCCATATTAAGTAAAATTAATTATTCCTCCAGGGAAAACTGTCTTTTGAAAACTTTTTTATTCTCTAGCTTTCTGGCATGGACGTCCTTCTGCATGAGATAACCTGGTATAATGATTCACCAATAGAATACGAGTTAAAATATAATCAAATACTACAACGTGTGATCAATAATTTCCAGGAATGAGACTGGATCACGTAAAATATTCAAAATAATGAAATAATTTTATAAGGACCTTATAGATAAAACATTTATCAACACGTAGAAAAAAAGTTGATCACATAGTCGCACGCGCTTACGTTTTATCGAATTTATAACCTCGAATATATCAGAACATTTTCTAACTTCAGTATGGACTGTATTGAAAAACAGCAAGTCTGCATAGAGTTTTGCTTTAAATTAGGGAAAACAGATTCCGAATCATTCCAAATGTTAAAGCAGGCTTTTAAAGAATATGCCCTATCACAATCGAGGACATTTGAATGGTTTGCACGATTTAAGGCTATGTATTTTACGTATGTAAAATTGTTCTGAAAATAGAGCAATTCATACTTAAATCTTCAGATAATAAAAAGAGGCATATATTGGATTAAATAAAATATTTATTTGCCAATATTTCAGTTGGCTGAATGCCACACTTTGTCAAGGCATATCATTTTTGTATAAAGTTTATACGCAAAACACGTTCGTGGATGGCTTTTCTTGATTTATCAAGAAATTGGGTTGGCCAAATATCAGGAAACAGGCTAAATCAATGTTTAGTTGATTTCTGTTCCACTAGATGGCGCTCTGTCTTCTGTAAAGCACATGTGCTCCTGGTCAGGATATGCCTTTTTTATTTTTAATATATATATGAAAAAAACTATAAAAAATAAAAATATATAAAATAGGTCAGGTTTTGATATTTAAAACAAAAGATGCATATCCTGACCAGGCTCACGTGAGTATTTCTATATGGCAGAGCGCCATCTAGTGGAGCAAATATGAACTAAACGCGTTCGGTTGACTTTTCTTGATTTATCAAGAAATTGGGTTGGCCACATAT